GTGTGGTTGTTTAAATTGCTGCTTTGCTGCTGTTTGCCTAGGGAAGGCTTTTTGTGCAGCTCAGGGTTTAATGGTTGACTTCATAGGTAATTCCAGCTCTTCAGAGACCTGGTGGATCTGGGATGTGTAGAAACTCTGATCTGGGCCTGAGTTTTTTTCATCAAACTGCACCCCATGCAATTCTGCATTCCCAACCAGTCTCCTCTGAGTGGTCTTGAGCTGGTTGGAGTGCAGGTAGTTTGTCCTTGCTGTGTCCCGGTGTTCTCCTGCTGGGTCCATCTCCCCTACTGCCCATGCTCCAAACACTTCCCATGGGGCAGGCCCTGCACTGGTCCCTTGTGTTGACTCACCAGCCTCTGAATGGCTCCCCTTTTTCAGCTGTTCTGGCTCCTCACTCCCGCACAGGAACCCTATTAGTGGTCTTGCTCTCCTGGGGGCCACCAAAGTCCTCTTCTCCCCTGCTGCCTCCAAGTAACTCTATCTAAAACATACAAATGTGGCTTCTGCCAGCTCCTGCTCCATGCACTCCAGCATTAAAGTGGCCATGGTTCAAAATGCTCAGAGTAGTTTTTTCTTTCCCTCATGTAGTTTCTCCCACCTTCATGAACTCCGTAGGCCTATCCCCCTCTACCCCTGAGCACTAGTAGCCCCAGCCTGGCTGATGTTACATTTTTATAGTTGTAAATTGGTTGATTTGTGGGAGAGAGTGGCAATGGGGACCGTCTATTCCGCCATCTTGACCGGAACTCTGAATTTCACCTATGTATGTCTGGTAATGTTATCTTACGTAACCCTATATCCACATCTTACAATTCATTCAGAGTTAAGAATGAGGCACTAAAAAGTGACTTGAGGCTCTGTGTGTAGGCAGGGGACTGGTCTAGGGACATACTTCTGTGACAAATTACTTCAATCCAAAATTCTACACTGAAATAAGTAAAAAAATTGTAAAGGTAGAAAAGACCTTTAAGACCTCCAAAGATTAATTTCCCATTAACCCCTTTCCAAGAAGCTAATTGAAGATAACCAGCACCAAAATGAGAGAATAAATCAAAAGTGGAGAAACATGGGCTCCAGTGAAGGAGCTAAAACAAAGAGAGAGGGTATAAGCTGTGAAGGAATGAGGGAATTCCCTGAGTAGTGGTGAAGGCTGACAACTGTGAAGAGACCTAGAACGTCATGGGCTTAAAATGCATCAAGGGGATAAAGAACACCTAAAGGAAAATCTCAAAGAAAAAAAGAAAGAAGCTTGTTGTGAAATTTATTTTATATTTCTAGTGGAAAGTAAGGCACATAAAAACTTGGCAAACAAAAGAAATAGTCAATTATTTACTCCAGGGGAAATATTTTGTACAAGAAAAATATGATCATATTTCACTATATAACTCAATTATTATCATAATAATGTAAACATAAATATTCATCTTGAAAATCACGATGTAACTATTAATAAAATGAGGAAAAGGGAAGTTAGTG